TAAAAAAAAAAATTATTAAAAATTAAAAAAGTAAAAACTCCCGGCTGTCAGGAGTGTGTCAGTGTCCGTCTCCCCGCGAGCTGAGCGTGTCAGTGCTGATAGGGTGCTTTGCAAAGTGTGCGCGGGTTTTGTTTATGTGCGCCGTCTGACGGGAGAAAGTCAAATAGTGCATTTATGTGGGCTCTGCCTCCACATAGAACCGCTGGTATGCGCTACGTCAATGTGACGCCATGGGAGAGGTGACGTCACTCAAAGTAGAGCTCTCTCTCTCTCGCTCTCCGATCATCCCTACAGTAAGACACAATAAGCCCTGCGCGGCCCGTGCCAGAGAGAGAGGGAGAGAGAGAGAGAGAGAGAGAGAGAGAGGGGTGAGAGAGCGAGAAAGAGAGACGGTTGGTTTGATGGTTGCAGGGGAGGAAGCGGAGGGGGATCCGGCGGGCGAGGTTGCGCCGTGGCAGATAGCCCACACCTTGGCTCTTTAGTCCAGATTTTATTCCTTTATCATGGAGGATACATTTAAAACCTTAAGGAATTATATTAAAAAATAGCTTTTTAATTTGCTTGAAAAACAAGAAATATAAATTAACTTTCAGTCAAGACTTGTCAAATCAAATAACTTAAAGGCCAAATTACATTACCATCAGCTTCTTCTATGATAAATATACCAGTATCAGTGATGAAAAGCAACATTTACCCAGGCAGGATACTGTGTTATACAACTTTGTGGTAGTTTACTGAGTATTTCCACTACTTTATACTTCTTCTTTACTACATTTTAGAGACGAAGAAGTATGCACTTTTTTATTTGACTGCTTTAATAAAATGCTACAGTTATTTGTTAGTTTGCAGATTCAGATTTATAGCCTACAAAACATACAGCCTATATCTTATAAAATATGGTATACTTTATAAACTGCAATGTATAAAGCAGTAAGAATCAGCTCCATTTTGTTCAGCCACAACCTTAAAATGCTGCTTCCATGTTACTAAATCAATAAAGAAACTTTAAAGGGGCCATTTTGTAGAATGACTAATTTTACTTTTAGCATATTTGCTGATACTTCTGTAGTTTGCAGGACTTTTTATATGTAATGTCGTATTTTGACATTGCGATATTACCACTTTTACTGCTTCTTCTTGAGTCAATTATCTGTTTATGTGACTAAATGTATAAAATGCCACCTCATGCTTCCTGGAACACACAAGCCTGTGTGTCAGTATAGACTCTGTGCCTTAAGGTCCTAATAAATCTGTCGTGTCATTTTATCATGACACAGACCATCGAATAGCACTGTCAATATAAATCAAGTGACAGGATATCTGAGGTTTTTCCTTTTTGGCTATTATTCTTTAACTCAAATTATTTAAAATCCCCACCCTAACGAGTCATTTAGTCCATTATAAGGTCTTAAAATGTTATTGTGTTAAGTGACATGATCCAATTAGATGATTTCACCCCCTTTTCCCCAATACAAATCAACTTATTTCAGCAATCTCCATAAATGAGAGCTGGCAGTGTCCAGCCTAATTCGGTCAAGACACTGACACACAAAGAAAAGTCCTGAAACAAGTGTAATGGGCTTATCTCAAACTATTAGAATAAACTATAAGAATTACATTTTTAATCTGCACCTAAAAATGCACCTTGAAGGCAGATGAAATGAAACTAGCAGACTTGTTAACATGCTTGTTTTTCTTAATGATAACACTATTTGCTTAACATATCTTTAGTCTTGTATAAACTGCTGTCTGTGGCCTTAGCAAGTCCTACAACATGAAGAAAACGTGACCAAAGTTAATTTGACTCTATTTCAACTCGCTCTAAACCTTTATTAAGCTTTTTATAACTGCAGATAAATGTGGCCAAGAGTGAAGAAATACAGCCACCGACCAGGTAAGGCAGGCTCTGCCGGTCCACAGGTCCAGGATGTCTTAACATACTCGACAACCACAAAATTAAAAAAGTGCCTCCGGAGCCGCCGAGAACAATAATCCCCAACAGCAAATCAGGAGGCGCGTATTCTTCAGTCAACGTCCTAATTTTGACCAATGATGAGCTCCGGTGGGCGGGGGAAGCCTTGACGCACTGAGGCTCGTGATTGACGCAAGCCTTGTTACTAAATTTAGCACCTGGCGAGATAGCAGAGCCCATTCATTGTACCGGGGCGGGCCCGACTATTTTAGCGTTGTGATTGTGATCCAGCCAAGCCAAATATAGTCGTAGACAGGTATTTTTAGCAGTAAAGCGCGTCCCCGTTTTCATTCGGCATTGGCGACCCCGGCCATACAGTTTGAAATGAGCCACGGCTCCAAAATCAGCACACTCAGTGTTAACCTGCAAATCAGTAAGGGGGGGATAGTTTTACAGTCAGCTGATATTACCATCGTACCCAGAGATAAACAACTGTAGGAGCTGTCGAGAGTAAATGTCACTGCCACAGGTTTCCCTCTCTCTCTCTCTTTTTTTTCTATCTCTCTCTACCCGGGGACAAGGTTGGAAAAGCGGGAGATGAAAAGACCGTACACCCGAAGATAAATAGCCTTCGGTTCGTCAAACAGAAACGTAAACAGGTTTGTGAATGTGAAGGCTTGCAGTTTCTCACCGCAGCGCTGCTTCTTCCTCACCAGCTGAGCACAAACTTTTCCTTTTTTTTTTGTATATGAGAGGACCGGCGGAAGAAAGGAGGAAAAAGCACTGTAGTCGGGCTACACCGCTGCTCCAGGGCGAAAAGTTGTAGGCTAAAGGTATTTTAATAATGGAAAAACAGCCGTGAAAGTCCAGTGCGCACACTTTACGCACTCCGTCTGCCCGGGGAAATCCCTCTACTGTGTTACACCTTGGAACAGATGCTCTCTGACCTGCAAGGAAGACATACATTTGCTTTTGCATGTGTGCATATATGCATATATGTATATGTATATGTATATATATATATATATATATAATGTTTGTCCAACAAAACAAAATGACCCAGATTATCACATTCAGGTATGCAGTGAAATGTGCGAGGATCCAAGATTCCAGTCAAGTTTGCTTGAAGAGTGAGTCCTGATTAATGTGGTCACCCAGGATCAGCTGCAGGGCGTGCAGATCACATGCAGCCAGGCCTCAGACTACCAGGGGCCCCAAGAAGGATTTGACATTAAATTGCATCATGAATTTGTAATCTAATTGAATTTCTCAATCCACACGCACAAACAGTTCACACTTGTTGTCAACAGTTGTGAATAGTTTATATTGTTTTCTTCCATCTGATGGCCGGTGAACACGTTTGCTCCATGGTGCAGGTGCATAAGCTGACTTCACAGATGTTGCTCACATGTTCAGGTTCTTAAGTGGCATCTTCTTGCGATAATTTTTTAATAATTAGCCTATAAGTCAACCTGATTACACGTTTTTTTTAAAGGTTCTTTTTAGGGCAAAACATATCCTATAGGCATAGATCACAAGTTGTTCTGCATGTCCTGTGCTGTTCTCCCTCTTGTCATAATTGTAAACCCTTATAAATGGATCATTTGTTTTATAAAAAGGGCCTTTGTAATTGTTTTATCATTGTGAAATATTGCTCGTCAGCACAAGTACTAATGCATGTCAATATCTTTGTTGTTCATGTTCCCTTTCTGAATAGGCATGCTTCAGTGTAGGGGAAGTTTTTTGTGAATGGATCATTTATCTTATAAATGCCTTTATTCATTCATCACATTCATTGTTTGTCTCCTCTCTTTTCCTTGTGTTTTTGTTCCACCTGGTCTCTCTCTCCCACTCTTCCTGGCTGGTCAGGGTATCAGCTGCCTCGGCTGTGACCTCACCATGGTGACGTGTAATCCAGATTAACCTGCTCTCTTATTCCGCCAGACATGGAAGTGATTAGAGATTATGACCGTGTCCTTTTAATAGAATTGGACGTGTGGGTAATCAACTGCGTCCACCAGCGTCGCGTGTCAGGTGACTCACTAACACATACAGTCACACACACACAAGCACAAGCACTTGTTTTTGTCACCAAGGAGGACATTTACATTCATTTCCTTGGAGACTCACTCTAATCCATAACAAAAACATGCTTAACCTCAAACTTCAAATCCAATTCTAACCAAAAAAGAACTCATAAACCCTAAAATCTTCTTGTAGGGTCTCTTTGTCTTCAAATGGGGAGTGAAATCTCTCCTCATGAGGTGACTGTATAATATTTGAGCCCTTTTATGACGTTATCCAAATTCTGAAGAAAATCTGCAACTTACTGTTAATTTTTGTACATGATGTTATATATCAGTACATTTCCTCTTTGCATGTTGGCTGAAAAACAAACACTTCCTTACTTCATCAGGAACTTGTGCATCAGCCAGCTGAAGTGAGAAAAAATGAATACTAGAAATGTAAACGATAACTAGTCAACACAAACTGCGTTACTGGAAGAGCTTGTATAAAAAGCTGAAATACTTTTCTGGAATAAAGTGCATCCTGTGTCTCTCTGTGAAGTTAGTGCCCCTGAGAATTCATCTCTTTTTACTTCGATCTTTAAGGACACCTACGTCCTTAAAGGTTACATTTCTCCCCCAGCTTCATTCTTCCGTTCCTGCCTTATGCTGTGACAGAGCAGAATTAGAGAGGCCGTATTTCTTCATATACTCTGGCAACATGAGCAGGAAAAAGGGAGTTTAGTTTTGTTAACCAACATTACCAGCGCACAAGTAAAAAAAATCTATTTATCAAACACTTCGTTTTCTGTGTCCTCTATCCTTGCCCTCGCACTCACTGCCATTCATGTAATATTCCTTTTAGCCTGTTGCTTTTATTCTTCTACCATGCAGTTTTACAAATAAGGAAATGTAACAATCAAAACTCAATCCATCCCCATTCTCTCTGAAATCTGCTCGACATTGACACTGCTTGCTTTTTTAGCAGGGTAAAGTTTATACTGACCAATGGTGGCCAATTTGTGCTAGACAGCAAAAACAACTTGAATGAATGGCGAGTGAATTTTGGGATCACTTATTTTCTGCTGGGCAAATTGAATTTTACAAATCAAATCAATTCTTTTTGTTCTTCTTTTTCTTCCTGCGTCTAAAACTAATTATTCGGCAATAAACAACGCACTGACAGGTTGAATGTCTGCTGCCTCTGTACTGAACTGTGAAACCTCTGCAGGCTTGTCAGTGTTGTCAGATTTATGATGGAGGAAGTTAGGTTGTTTGCATAAAAAGTGCTTCGCTGCTTGTCACAGTTGTTAATGCGCAGTTGTATTACATACTGTGGTCTAGCATCTTCCTCCTGCACAGAGCTGCTGACTATATGGTAGGCATATTGCACCGAGACACTCTGGCTTATCACAAAGCAGAAAGTGAAAAGTGATTGTGTCAGTTTGAATGAGCTCTCTATGTCTACGGCCAAGGCACCAGCACTCAGCGCTCTGGTGACACTGGAGAAAGAGGAAAGCAGAGAAAGAGAGAAACAGAGGAAGGCTTTTATCTTCGTGTCACCAAATCTGCTCCAACTGTACGTCAGAGTGCAAGCGAGGACGGGAAGGGGCGGGGGTGCGGGGGAGAGGATTGCTGGCGCAATGGCAGGGTGCTCAATGGTAGCATTCTTCCCTTTCTGTGGACACATACACACACACATGCAGACAACACAACACACCAGGGGGATTCCCCCCCCGGGAGTACCCAAGTGAAGTAATACAACCCATCACTGCCTTATCACACCAGTGCCCAAAGACAGGAGAGAGGAGTGTAGAGAAGTGTTTCCATGAGCCACGACACAGGAGGTGTACTGTATATCACTCAGGGATTGTGGGCCATTATATGATGCTATCGTGATGTGTTTTTGCACTTTTTTTTAAACATTTGTGTGTGTGTCTGGAAAGAGGGAGAGAAGGGTAATGCGCAGCAGCTTGTGCGTAATGTTCTGTAGTTTCCCTCGTTTGTTTGATGGCAGATTTATCACCTCTCTGATTATCACCCTGCAATGAAATTTGACAGCATGATTCACTAGTTGCTTTGTGTAAACTTTGAAAGGGTGTATGAGTAAAATCCATCCCCATGTTTGTTTTGCCTTTGTTTGTATGTGCATTTATCTGTGTTCTTGTGTGCATGTGTTGATGTATGTGTCAGGTAGTGTCGGTTTTACAGGACCAGGCATTTCTCTTCAGGGATTGAGCATTATTGTAATACTTGTGCAGGCGAATGTGTGTCACTTGAGTGGGGTAATTTGCATGGTTACAAAGAAATGTATACATTACAGCTTCTGCATTTTTGCCTTCCACTTTGCATGTGTAGAGTCAGGGTTAATTGAGATGGAGGCTTATCCTGACAGTAGTGAGGGGTCAACGGGTGCATTGTCCTTGCGTATGTGATGTGACTCTCCTTATATCAGAAAGAAGTGGGTATACAACCCTCCCTCGCAGGTATACATACACTGTTGCGAGCAGCAGGTGCGTGTCAGGCAGGATCCAGCATGCTACAACTCATGATAGATATCTTATATAACTACTTCACTGATGCCGTCCCCTAGCAGGAATCTTCTGTGCTTGGCCTTGAGCCACAAAAAATAATTGTCCAATTTATATTAGGGAGTGCATTATATCTTGATGTTTAAAACATCGCAGTTTAGAGGTGGAATGGAATATAATAATATTTGAATCATCAGGTTTTGTGACATATTGTTGCTGATAATCCCTGAAACTGGCTTGACTGCTTTCTAATAACAGTTATTGTGAGTATTGAAAGTTTGTCTACACCCTTCACGCTTGGGTTTGTTGCCAGATATCTCCCATTATTGCCAGTTGCAGACAGTATTCAACCAAACGAGTAACTGAAGTGGTGCATGTTTAATGAGACAGTGCAGCAACAGGAGATCAGTAATTAAAAGTAAGACTTGTATTGTAGAGTTTGGACCATTGATGGATGGGCTTATCAGTCATGCCCTTTACACACAGATCAAACAGGCTCTGAACCACAAGGATTGCATGTGTGTGATGGTGCACTCAAGATGTGCAACTGTTGAAAGGTTTCTTACTCACACCCTGGTGTTACTGATAGAGAAGATCTACAAAGGTCAAATGTCATTTGTCATTACCTTAAAGTCCCCCTAAACTCAGAGATATGTCTTTCTTATTGTCACTCTAAGGTTGCAGAATGAAGTATGTGCAGAGATTGACACTAGAGGGGAAAGTTTTTCTGTGCACACCTTAAATTTGAGTTCAAGACATGTACAAACAGGCATAATGACATGTTAACTCGTTTTTAAGCTGATCCAATATGCATTTTTATATTTCCTAAAACATGTCTGGATTCTAATTTAAACCTATGATGCTTGTGGTTTCCATGTTCTGAACCTAGCTTTGTGTGCCACACACAGTAGTTTGCCAGGAAGAAAGTCACACAAAAAGCCCTGAAGACATTGAACCCAATGGAATTTTGACATTAAGAAAGTTGGTATAAAGCAATAGCATCAGATGAAACATTTTCAGAGCACATGCCTCTCAGTTGCTCATGGTTTTGGACTCTTCGTCCCAAATCTGTCTGGTTTTCCATTCTGATTCTGTGTCTGTGGTCACTTACATCATCTTGCATTAAAAAAAAAAAATAAATAAAATCCTGTCAATTAATACCTTTGAACCTGCCAATCAGAAGCCCAGCCGCTGACCTGTTATGTAAGGTACTGGAAACAAACAATTGTGTCACTACTGCAGGTATTAAGTTTACAACTTAACTACCGGTGGTGAATTTAAGTGTGAGTGGGTGTAATTGGTAAGATAGTATGTGTGGAAATATGTGAACAGTGGGTGTATGAGTCACCTTCGTGTAGGCAGTTGTTTAAAGGCCATTTTCTAGGAGATGTCAGAAACAGGAACATGTATTAGTAAATGTGTGTGTGTCTGTGTATTAATGTGTGATGTGGTTTCGTCATTTGAGTTGAAACATCGCAGGATTCCCCCTCTCAGAGTGTTTAGATGGAGATATCACAGACAGAATCTCCTCATGTCTGACATACAGCACTGTAGGAGTCCACTTGAAAGCGCACTCGGTGACCGTTGTAGCAAGTGATAGATATTAATTGAATATTTGCATGCAGTCCAAAACATACTGATTAAAGCCTGGAATAATGCGGTGGATGTTATTTTCAAAGCATGGGGATATCGGCTGCAGTACTTGTGGATTAATATAAGTGTATTTGTGCTTGTGTGAGAAACAGTTGCCCTTTTCACATTTGAGCCCTGGTTTGGGGAAACACTTCTGGCTGAATGCCCTGCACGCCTTGATTAGTTTCACCTCCGCTCATGCCACTCCCACACCTTCTGCCCAGGTATCTGCCTGACATCTTGTAATTGTAGTTTAGCTTAATCACATAAAAGAGTGATGACATTTTGGTAGCTGAGTCAGTGTCTTCGTCGCCCTTCAGATATTCAACACTTGAGCAGAATGTGTGTGTGTATTCTGTGATTTTTACTCAGCGTATGGGGTCTAAATATGTGCTCGGCGTTTGACGCTTTGCTGTGGCTCAGAATAATGTCACTCTGGGTCACACAGTGACCACATGGGCATGTGCACGGACAGTTAGGCACACACACACACACACACACACACACACACACACCCACTCACACTTACAGATAAACAAGTGGTTGCATTTCTGCATGAGTCACAGTCGTGGGCAGAGGTGGAAAGTTTCCTTGTTTGGGCTATTCCCCCCTGCTGACACTTTTGATACTTTTTTGAAGTATGTGATGTGTTTCATAATGTGAAGTCAACTTGTAGTGGACAGTGGATTCAGCTCATACCTGCTGGTACATCCACACTACGTTTCCTCTCTTTATTAGCTCATGCAGGCATCGACCTTATTATTTTCTTTATTAAATTTAAATATAGCAGTGCAAGAGGATTGCTTAAAAAAATATAATTTAATACTATTACTACTATTACTTTTTGTAATAATATTTTTGCTGA